ATGTATTAACTTCTGAGAGTCTAGGAAATAAACCCTGGGCTTCAAGAAAAGAAAAGAGTCTTGGCTAGTGCTATGTACCTTTGTTTCCTCCCTCCCTTCCTTCCGTCCTTCTTTCTCTCCCTCCTCCTTTCCTTCCTAGGTACCTTCTTTACCTTCTTTCCTTCCTTCTTTCTTCTAAGAAATGTTTATTTTCCCCTGGGAGCACCTTTATAACCTCACAGGACAACATTTATAGAGCCTGGGTTGGGGACTAAGATGGCCACAGGCTGATTTTGCTTGGAGACACTTATCATACTGGACTTGACTTCTACTCACTTCTGCTATTTTAGAGTAAAGAGCTCAAAGGTGTGGGTAACCCACCTTGTACCTGACATTGTGTCTCTGAGCTCATGGTATATTCAGTAGGAAGGATCTGGGAACACTCAGGACAGGAGGAGGGACCATCTGCACCTTCTTGTCAATACTTGAGTTGGAAACCTTGGACCTTCTCAGCCAAGAGGATAAACCCGGTGCTGGAAGTCCCTGGCCCATGACTGGGTGGCCTCTGCAGTTCTGTGGAAACTGGTGTAGACAGGACAAGGAGTGAACAGGACCTAGGCATGTCATTAAAATGTACAGAGATATCAGCTCATAAGGCAATTTACATCTAAACTAAAAATACGGCCCCACAGACAGGTGAAAACTAACCATCAGATTGTAAAGTTCAGCCGTTACTTAAAAGCATCAGGCAGGGCAGCCATCCCAGCCTCTGCTGTGCTTGGCCCTGAGCGGGCTGTGGGAGGAAGGGGAGACAGGTTTGCTGGATTTAGGCCGTGAGGTCTTCTCGGTGGTGGCCAGCCACCTGGAAGGCCATAAGGACTGTCAGCATCTTCCTCCTCCAGGCTCTTCCCGTCTGCCCTCTAACTTTTCTACCCTACCTTAAAAAATAGTGTATGTGAATGAGGACCCTCCCATATCCATTTAAGCAGGGGGATACACACAAAAAAGTTATCTTTAATGCTTATCTTGGGATAAATTCTTCAAGAAAGTGCAACAGTGCTAAATATGAATACACCTAAGAGTTTCAAAATACAAGAGACAAAACTGATAGAGCTACAAGGACACACAGACAAATCCACAATTACCATCGGAGATCTCAAAACTCCTCTCTCAGCAATTGGTAGAACAAGGAAACAGGAAATCAGTGAGGATGGCGTGCGCTTGAACTGCACCCTCTGACCTGGTGGGCATTCTAGAGCACGCCACCCATCAACAGAAAATACAAGCTTTCCAGTTGCACATGGAACAGTCACCAAGGTAGCTCGTATCTGGGGCCGTATTAACAAATGTTAATACATGAAAAAGGACTGGGATCATGTAAAGAATATTCTCTCTCTACAACAGAATCAAGCCAGGAGTCAAACAGAAAGAGATCTGAAAAATCTCCACACAATGGAATACTACCCGGGAATAAAAAGAATTGCATTCCTGAGACATGCGACCAAATAGATGACTCCTAAGAGCGTTACGTGAAGAGAAAAAAGCCAGTCACAGAAGTCCATGCTGCATGGTTTCATTTTAAGACTTTCTAGAACTGGAAAGACGATAATGACAGGAAACAGCAGCTGGGATGCAGGAAGCAGCTTCGCTGCAAAGGCACATGAGGAAGCTCTGTGAGTGATGGAAACACTCGAGTTTAACTGGGGTAGTGGCTATACAGTGCTACATATTTGTCAAAACTTATTGAACCTTACACTTAAAATAGGTGAAATTTGAAACTTGACATATCTTTCATCTCTTCGTTCATCCAATGTTCTGTGACTCCCTGTACTGCATTCATGCTAAGTCTCTGCTCTGCTGGCAGTGAAGTCTCTGAGCACCGTTAGGTGGACTTCAGACGGGGATTTCCCGTGGTTTCTGGCATCTAAAGGGGCAATCACAGCTGTGTAAATACTCAGCTGAATGGGTCTGCGGGAGGAGGCTTGGAAGCAGTTTGGGAAATAAGAATTCATGTAAGAGCTTCAAGGAAGAAACACATCTTGAGAAATCAATGGATTGTCTATTTCACCGAGAATCTATTGCTATTATTGTCGCCCAGATTTGTGTCCATAACCCTCCCAATGAAAACATCCTGGAACAATTGATAAAAATCTTCGTGCTCGATTTTTCACTCTCTAATGTTGTATAAATAGATGAACCTGGATAGATGACCTGAGGCTCAAAGAATTAAATGCCCAGGGTCAGATGTAGAAGCAGCCCGAGGACAGGAACCTGAGTCCTTTCTCCTAAGGTCAGTGCTCTTTTCTGTGCCCCAGGCCTTAGAAGAGTTTCTCCCCAACATGTTTGTCCATTTTTAGGCTTGAAGAATGGAATGTGAAAAGTGAATACTCTGTTCTTGCAGCTACAAAGAGCTATGGTATGGTAAGAGCTTTCAGGGTCCCTTACAATGACTACTTAGTGCTCTGGTGAAATCTATGAACTGTGGTTCTCTATGGAGGCAGAAATGGCAGAGACTGTAATGTTGACAACCTTGTCTCCAAAGCAATTGGCTCTCTGCAGGGTGTGTGTGTGTATGTGCGTGTGCATGTGCGTGTGTGTATGGGGGGCAGGTACAGGTAGGGCTGGGGTCCTCTGACCTTGAAGCAGCTGCCATGGTCTAGCTTAGGTGTTGGCCAGCTGCCAAGTTAATCTACCCAACAGGGAGACATTCCTCTGGAAATCTCTGTTCCTTGAACAGCTCTCATCAAATGGTTTGGATAAATTCTTCCACCCAAGTCCACTAAGCTTGACTAGAAAGGAAGGAAGAGGAAGAGGGAGGGGCTTTCATTGTTGCCGATCTCACTTCTGGAAAAAAAATCTAATTGCCACACATACTCCCAATAAAATACCCAGTTGTCCATGGGGATGGCGGGTGGGGGTGGTCCCTGTGTTAACACGCGAGTGTAATTTGCAGGTAAGCAGTGTAGGCAGAGAAGGGAGCAGACAGAAGCAGATTGGACCAGATCACCCAGGAGAGGAGGCTCGCAGAGATGGCTTTCCAAGGGCAGCCAATCTGTCTCAGAGTGTCCTCCCTATCTTATTATCACCCTGTTTTCTGAGGTTGACAAGAGAGTGGTGTAATTTTAAAAAAAATAAATTTTAAAATTAACACATGAAATAAATCAAATGTTATTTCCACCAAACTCTCCTTTGTTGAGCGTACAGCAGGCCTAGTCTAGAGGAGGGGGAACTTAGTGGGGTTTTGCAGCTAAAGACCAGTTCGGGTGCAGGGGGGTTGCACAGGGCAATGTAGGGCAAAATTTAAACCTTGTTGAGAAATTAGTTTCCCTTTGAGAACGAAGGTGGGGAAGGCAACAATGTGCCTCTGATCTAACAAAAAGCAGAATCCCAGTTCCCCACTAGAGCAGAGAGCTGACATCTGGTTTTTTGCCACGACCAGTTTCTAACTCTGCCTGTGTAATTAGGTGAAGAGAGAAGGTACGTGATAAAGGAGAGATTATATGGCATCAGAAGTCACAGGCAGGTTTCACTGTGTGAATGGCCATGAGGAAAGCTCCCCGAAATATTTGCTCTCTTGAAAGGCTTGCAGTTCCGCTGACAGGGCTGATGTGAGTTTATGGATTCCCAGGTGAGCCCGAGATGCTTCTGAAATTCTAAGGGAACCTCATGTCCTGAATGGAACCATATGGTAGAGAGAGGTGAGACCACCAGTGAATCAGGGAGAACTTTTGTATCACACCCTAAATGTTCAGGGCAAGACTAATCATAAAGTGTGACGTTCTAACAAGCTAACTGTGCTTTGGACAAATATTAATCTAGTGAGTTGGCTTCTGAGGTAGTAAAGGTGAATCAGGCCCACAAAACACTCCTGGAGGCAGGGCATCTGATACTGGGTGAGGTCTCCATGGATCTGTCTATCTGCCCTTCCAGGCAGGCATCAGAGTGGTCTCCATCTTGAGACCAGGCTTCCTTCTCTATATGAAAGGCCTTTTCTCAAACCCCAAGAACTACACGAGCAAGGTTCTTTGCAATACTGAATGTCAGTTCGCCCTCGCCACCCCGCCCCACCTGCCTCCCCATCCCCAGACAGGTATGTGAACATTCACATCCAAAACGTGGGCTCAGTGGACAGCAGATGAGAAGCACGACTCTCCCCACTGCAGCCTCAGCGGAGCATTACAAGGATATATGGCAATAAAGCCCCAAACCTGAACTCTCAGGAGATAAACTGAACTCTTCAGACAATTATTCAGATCCACAGTTATTCAGGATATTCTGATAAAGCATGGAGTTTTCTCTCTCCCCATTTGCCCCACTGAGTCCATGGCCAGTAATTCCTCCACTGCTTTTCACCACAGATAATGACAAGAGGAGGGGTCATGGACATGAGTGGACTCTAAGGACACTCAGAACATTCTAGGGTACACAGGTTTCCGGCTGCCTATTAGACACTGGGGCAGGTCCTACTCACACTCAGTTACAGACATGACAGCAGCCCATGGAGAGCCTCCTGCCATTGCTAAGCTGACAGCTAATGAGGCAGAAAGGAGTTCTGATGGGAGCTTCCAGAAGAGCCAATGTCAACCCAGGGAAAAGTCAGTGAGCCAGAAATAGCCAAGCCCTTTCAGCGCCCATCACCCTGGGTGATTCCGAGCTCCAGGCACAGGGAGCTGGGTCTCAGGTCCAGCAGGGACACTTATTCCAAAGTCCACGGGGTTTGAATCTTTAAGTATGATTCATTAAACTGATAATACTCAAAAGGCTATTAAAGGAGTAAGATGTCAGTCCCTAAGCAAATCTCCTAACAGTCATCAAGAAAAGGCTTGCTGGCTTTG